TCTCTCTCTCTCTCTCTCTCTCTCTCTCTGTGTGTGTGTGTGTTAGTTTACGTTTACCTTTTTTTGAGGCAGATTCTGTCTGTAGTGCTGGCCTGGAGCTCACTGTGTAGACTGGGCTGGCCTGGAGCTCACTGTGTAGACTGGGCTGGCCTCAACAGGGATCCCCCTGCCTCTTTTTCTGGAGTGTTGGGACTAAAGATGTGCACCACCATGCCCAGCTCTTGGTTTGTTTGTTTGCTTGCTTTTCTTTTTAAGAGATTTATTTTTATTTATTATGTGTGTGAATGTTTTGCCTGCATGGATGTCTGTGCACCATCTACACAGTTGATGCTGACAGAGGCCAGAAGATGTCACAGTTCCATGGAACTGAAGTTACACATGGATGTGTGAGCACCGTGTAGGTCCTGGGGATCAAACCTGGGTTCTCTGGAAGAGTAGCCAGTGCTATTAACCTCCGAGCCATCTCCGCAGCCTGAATCCATTTATGTTTTCCTTGCCTGTAGTATTGGACTAGACAATGAGCTCTAGAGTCTGAAGAGGAAAGTTGGCACTAAAAGTGAAAAAAACAAAACCAAAAATAAAAACCAGAAGCCAGTTTTGGTATTCTATGCTTATAATCCTAGCACCGGGAGTCTGAGTCAAAGTTAGCCTGGGTGATATAGTGAGTTCCAGCCAGCTTGGGCTACACAGCAAGAGTCTGTCTCATGAATAAACAAACAAACATTAAGTAAGTAAGAAAAGGGTATGTAAACAAACGAAGGAAAGCAAGCCAGCGAGCAGCATTCCCGCCTTGGTCTCCGCTTCATTTCCTGTCTCCAGGTTCCTGCCATGGCTTCCCCTTATGATGGGCTGTGACCTGTAAGCCAAATAAACCCTTTCCTCCTCAAGTTGCTTTTGGTCATTTATGTTTATTGAAGCAACAGAAAGCAAACTAGAACAGTTGAGTTGAGAAATTAATGTTCAACATTTTTTTTTTTTTTCTAGCTGTAGGTTATTCCTGCTGTAGGTACTCGATAAGTGCTTTGGGTAGAGGAATGCATGAGTAAGTGGCTGTATTCGTTGGGCTTCTCTAGAGGATGAAACCTATAGAATGAGTATAAACGTATGGCCGAGGTCTAGCTAGTCCAACAATGGCTGTCTACCAATGCATGGTCCAAAAATAATACAGTAGTTGTTCAGTCCTCGAGGCTGGATGTCTCAAGCGGTCATAAGTATGTGCCAGAATCCCAAAGAAGTGCGTGATCATGTCAGTGAAGGAATGAACCTGCCAGTGAGAATGAGGGCAAACAGGCAAAGAGAGAACTTGCCTCTTCCATGTCCTTTATTTAGGCTGTCACCAGAAAGTGTGTCTTTCCACTTCAAATGATTTAATGAAGAAAAAAAAAATCCCTCACAGGTATGCCCAGCCATTGGGTTTTAGTTCATTGCAGATGCAGTCGAGTTGACCACAAGAATGGCCATCATTGTGGCTCTGGGCAGTTGAGGGGCACAGTATCTTACTTGGAATTCCCAAGACAGAAGGGACAATGCTGAATGGTGCTGTGTTAAAAGAATATTTAAACCCAGGTTTTGATGGGTTAAGGAGGGTACTTAAAGTTCATTGGTGGTCCCCAACCAAAGCTTTATATATATGTGTTTTGCATATATATATATATATATATATATATATATATATATATATATATAGTCTGTGCATGGCTTGAGGAGACCAGGCTCAGATCCCCTGGGACTGGAGTCGTAGACCATTTGTTGTGAGCCATCATGTGGGTGCTGGGATTCAAACTTGGGTCCTCTGGAAGAGCATCCAGTGTTCTTAACTGCTGAGCCATCTCTCCAGCTGTTAAGAAATTTCTTCTTTTCCATAGTTAGGAATAGGTATGACAGCTAGGTGTGGTGGCTCACATCCTTAATCCCAGCACTAGAGAGACAGGAGGATCTCTGTGAGTTCAAGGCCAGCCTGATCTACAAAGCAAGTTCCAGGACAGCTAGGGCTACACAGAGAAACCCTGTCTCAAAAAACAAAGACAAACAAACAAACAAAAAACAGAAAAAGTGACAGGGATGACAGATGAGCCTCATCTGTCCACTCAGTTTGATAAACCTGCATGAATTCTGGGTAGGAAGGACTCTGAAGAGCTGGAGGGATGGCTCAATGATTAAGGACAATTCTCAGCACCCACTCGGTGGCTCACAAACTTCTCTAACTCCAATTCTGGGGAATCCAGCACAGTCTTCTGGCCTCCACAGGCACCAGACACACACAGGCACACAGTCATACATGCAAGCAAAACATCCATACACTTAAAATATAATTGCTTAAATTAAAAGCACATAAAATAAGGTCTCTGAAGCTTAGAGGGTCATGTCTCCTGATCAACTCTTGTTCAGGGTGGGGGAAGCAATGCTGCTCTCCTTGATGTGTGACCCCGGAGAACTGATTTTGCCTGTTCTTCCCCTCTGTAGGGACCCAGCTGAGGCCTGGCCTGGGAGCCAGGATGGCCACCCACAGAGCCTTGCTGATGTGCCTAGGACTACCTCTTTTCTTCCCCGGGGCCGGGGCCCAGAACCACGCCCCGCCCGGCTGCCGCTCAGATCTGGATCCAATCTACTACAACCTTTGTGACCGCTCTGGGGCTTGGGGCATCGTCTTGGAGGCGGTGGCCGGGGCTGGCGTCATCACCACATTTGTGCTCACCATCATCCTTGTGGCCAGCCTTCCATTTGTGCAGGACACTAAGAAGCGGAGCCTCCTGGGGACCCAGGTGTTCTTCCTGTTGGGCACCCTGGGCCTCTTCTGCCTGGTGTTTGCCTGCGTGGTAAAGCCTGATTTCTCCACCTGCGCCTCCCGACGCTTCCTCTTTGGGGTCCTGTTTGCCATCTGCTTCTCCTGCCTGGTAGCCCATGTCTTTGCCCTTAATTTCCTAGCCCGGAAGAACCATGGGCCCCGGGGCTGGGTGATCTTCACTGTGGCCCTGCTTCTCACCCTTGTGGAGGTCATCATTAACACCGAGTGGCTGATCATCACCCTGGTACGGGGAGGTGGCCAGGTTGGCCCTCCAGGCAATGGCAGTGCCGACGGGACCGTGACCTCTCCCTGTGCCATCGCCAACATGGACTTCGTCATGGCGCTCATCTACGTAATGCTGCTGCTGCTGGGAGCCTTCCTAGGAGCCTGGCCCACCTTGTGTGGCCGCTTTAAGCGCTGGCGGAAGCATGGGGTCTTTGTGCTGCTCACCACAGCCATCTCCATCGCCATCTGGGTGGTATGGATTGTCATGTACACTTATGGCAATAAGCAGCACCATAGCCCCACCTGGGATGACCCCACGCTGGCCATTGCCCTCGCTGCCAATGCCTGGACTTTTGTTCTCTTCTATGTCATCCCTGAGGTCTCCCAGGTGACCAAACCCAGTCCAGAACAGAGCTACCAGGGGGACATGTACCCTACCCGAGGTGTGGGCTACGAGACCATCCTGAAAGAACAGACGGGCCAGAGCATGTTTGTGGAGAACAAGGCATTTTCTATGGATGAGCCAGCCTCAGGTGCGGTGAGAACTTTGTGTATACCCTTGTGGGGTGTGTCTGTGTGTGTCAGGATGTGCTTGTGTGACACTAGACAGGGTCTCATGTAGCCTAGGCTGATCTCGAACTCACTATGTAGCTGAAGCTGGGTCTTGATCAGATCCTTCTTTCCCTCAGTTGCTGGCGTTATAGGTCTGTGTCTGTGTGTCACCATTTCCAGCTTTTGTTTGCTACAATTCCATTTATTTATTTAGTCGGTCATTTCTTTCCTACCGTGTGACTTCTGGGGATCAGACTCAGTTTGTCAGGCTTAGTGGCAAGTGCCCTTATCTGGCTGGGCTATCCTTTTTTGTTTTGTTTGTTTTGTTTCAAGACAGGGTTTCTCTTTGTAGCCCTGGCTATCCTGGAACTGGCTCTGTAGACCAGATTGTCCTCGAACTAACAGAGATCCTCCAGCCTCTGCCTTCCGAGTGCTGGGATTAAAGACATGTGCCACCACTGCCTGGCTGAGCCATCCTTTATGCAATGTCTTCTACTGCAGGATAAGGAGCCATTCTCTTGAAAAATGGAAAGTTCTTGTGATTGTCTGCTTTGAAGCCCCTGCATTCAGGGACGGAATGCAGGAGCATGGAATGTAGCTCAGTGGTAGATTTCATGTGCAGCAAACCTGAGGCCCCTGGTTTAGTCTCCGGTACTACAAATAACCATTCGTGATGGCCCGAAGTGACCTTAGCAGCACATTTGTTAACCAGAAGGAATATTAGCATGTATTTGGATACCTGCTGTTTGCTGGGCTCTGTGCTGAGACACTAGGGCTTGTGGCTCACGAGCTGCAGCCCCCTTAGGCATGACCAGAGCTCTGCCAGACCCCAGATATTTGTAAGACATGTCAGGGCTTTAGACACAGCCTGGTTATCACACACTGGCTCTGGCATCTCTGAGGGAAGTTGGGTTAGAGACAATGGGCATTCTAGAATCAGAAATCCTAGGGTCCCCTGGGCACACACTGTGTGGCACTCATACTTCCGGCCTTGTGGAAATCGGTGGCCCTTGCTCTTGTGGACACATAGTCTGTGATCTTAATCCCTGAAGATAACTTCTGTGCCTATACTGGGGTGACTTCTGGCACACTGAATGTGCAGGTCATTAAGGAAGCCAGAAAGACAGAAGACCTGGGCAGATGCTGGGAGGAGGCACGAACCCTGTCCCCACCTCTGCTCCCACCTTAGTACTGCTTTGTCGGGCCCGAGAGTTCTTAGTCTTTTCTTCTCATGGAGATACTCTTGGGATTTCATTTTTTTTTTTCCAAAATGGAAAAATCAATGGCACGAGGTCAGCACTTAGGAATCTTGCATAGGTTATGGTCCCTCAGCCCTGCAGAGGACAGCTGAATCATGCATCCCTGGCCCCCTGAGGAAGGCCTGTTCTCAAGCAGCTCTCCTCAGATACCCCAGAGGTGCCCCGAAGGGTGGATCAGATGGGAAATCACATCAGAAGGTGCAGGAAGCTACAGATCCCTCGGTGTACTTGCTGGGGGCTCAGGATGGACTGAGCACCAAGTCTCCTTAGCTGGGTCCTGTATGGCTACACAACGGCACCAGCGGCCACCCATGCCCCCTGGAGAACATGCTGTGGGGTCTCAGCTGTATTTCCCCATGGGCCTGGCAGTGGGTCCATAGTGGTGGAGGCAGGAGCTGGAGGCTGGCCATCTTGGAAAGCTGCCAAAGGCCCATGTGCCCCTCATGGCCTCTGGCCCTGAGGGCGAATAGGATGTGAGGGTTGCTGACAGACGTGTTTTTCTGGGCTATGAGGAGGGACGGGACTGGTGTGTGTGTGTGTGTGTGTGTGTGTGTGTGTGTGTGTGTGTTTGTCCCACAATGTAGGGGACCAGAAGCACTCTTTTGTACATCTAAACCAGAGAACACCAGGCATGGGAGGGGGTACTAGGTAGGTCCACAACCTTACTCTCAGGTCACCGCTCCTGGGTCGGGTGTTACACCAGGGCCCCAGGGCCCCCATTTCCCTATGTCCAGGAGAGTTGCTTGGGCTGTGGGTCAAAGCAGGAGATAAGAGTCCAGAACTCCTCAAATTTGACCTGTTTTTCTCTACAGCGAAGAGACCGGTGTCACCTTACAGTGGCTACAATGGACAGCTGGTGACCAGTGTGTACCAGCCCACCGAGATGGCCCTGATGCACAAAGGCCCGGTGAGTTGTCCCTCAGGTTCCCGGGTCTTGGTTGCGAGCCATAGAGCTCAGCTTCATTTGCTGGTAGAGAGGCTGTGCAGGCAGTGAACGTATGGCTGATAGAGTTATTAATATATGGCAAACTCCGGGGGGGGGGCATCAACCCTGCCCACCCAGGGCGCTAGCACACCGTAGTAGGACCTGCCCTGCATCACTGGGCGTCACCCACAGCCTGGTGGCACGTACCTGTAATCCTAGCACTTGGGAGGCAGAAACAAGAGGCTCAAGGTTTTAAGGAGCATCTTTGGCCACAGCTTGTACCACCAGCCTGGGCTATATGAGACCCTATTTCCATGCCTGGCTAGTGAGTCTTGACTTTATACTCCCCTGGGCTCTGGGAACCGGTACTCCATTAGCTAGGGGGGCGGTGGGAACAGGAAGGAGGTGGATTCGATTCCCACTCCATATATGTTCCCCCTCCCTGCTGGCAGCAGTTGCCAGAGAGGTCAGCGACCTGCCTTGGCAGGATTCTGGGAACAGGAAGCCAGGAGGTCAGCAGGGTGCTATTCCCATCCCTTCCCCACCCCCCAAGCTGGGAGCAGGGGATAACTGCTGTGTCTGAGACTTCCAGCCCCAGGCTCTTTTCCTCTCACCGAGTGTGAAGCTGCTGCCTGGAGCAGAGCTGAGCAGTTTCCATTCATACCGTGATCAGAGGCTACCTCTTCATCCCCAGCCTCTGAACCTTGTCCACAGGAGCCACCTCAACCTCTCCCCAAGTTTGGAGGGTGAGCTGAGCTGGACTGTTCTTTCTGCTTAGTTCTCGTTCCATGGTTCTCAGACCCGACACCCCCCACCACCACCACCCCCGGCTAGCAGCAGTTGAGAAATTGCTTAAAATGAAAACTGGGTCCGAGGTGGGACAGTCTGTCAGGACTTCTGTGTTGGTAACCTGGGGGTGGGGGCTGTCACCTGGTAGCTTGGGTTCAACCTAAAAAGGGAGTAACTCCCCAAGGCAGATATACAGGGACCTTCAGGACTTTCTCATCCCTGTAGTTAAACATTTGCCAGCCTATCTCAGGGTGAGGCCCAGCTAGGGGTGGAGCTCAACTGGGGGTAGGGCTTGACAAACAGTCCTGTTAATTTTGGTGCTCTCCCATGTTGAAACTCCCAGATCCAAGTGTCCTAGACAGCAGGGAGTGGCTGGGTGTTTCTGGAACCTCCCCCCCCACATAGGTGGGAAGGTCACTATTTCTGCTGGTTTGGGGTCCTGGGAGCCTTGGCGCTTTAGTGGTAACATCTGTCTAGCATGGTGATAAGACAGGTTATACCCCAGGAGTTCATGTACCTTCCAGATAGAACACTTGGGGCCAGATTCCTAAGCCAGAGTTAAATGGACTAGGACCTATCAGAAGGGTACTGAGTGCTGTAGTGACATTTTGGGGACGTGGGTATGGCACTTGTGTACCAGTCATGCAGTAGCAACTTCATGGCAGCCAGCCTGGGGTTTCCCCGAGGAATTAGGAGCAGGAACTCAGAGAGACGGGGGTCTCTTCTAGGAAGCCCCGAGGTGTTCAGGGACCCTCTTCTGTGCTCAGAAAGCTGTCCTCTATTTCCAGAAGTAGAGTCATCCATCTTATCCTGCCAACAGGGCCCTGGTGGAATGGGGGTGGGAGGGCAAGAGGTGGGAGCTGGCAGGCACAGCCTGCAGGAAGCCGAGTGTTTGTGCATTTGCCCTGGTGGAACCTGGCTCCCGATCCCCCGACTGTGAGGCCGCCTGTTCTTCCTTCCAGTCCGAAGGCGCTTATGACGTCATCCTCCCACGGGCCACCGCCAACAGCCAGGTGATGGGCAGTGCCAACTCAACCCTGCGAGCTGAAGACATGTACATGATCCAGAGCCACCAGGTGGCCACACCACCGAAAGACGGCAAGATCTCTCAGGTCTTTAGAAATCCCTACGTGTGGGACTAAGGCAGCAGCTGTGGCCAGGAGGAAGGGGGCGGATTCCGAGAGGGCACTCAAGACCGGGCTTGTATGAGGGACCACTAGGGATGCCGTGCTCTGTGGCTCCCTTCTCCCTCACTGGCTCAGGGTAGCTTATGCCTCAGGGTCAGGTCGGCTGATCTGCCAGTGTTTGGGTGGGTGTCCTGGGGGCCCCCCTCCCTCTCAGTATTTGTGGAGTCCAGGCGCCTACCCTGATTCATGCCAGGGCCACCTCTGGTGATCTGCTCCATCCAAATAGTGTTCTGCTTGGAGTGGTGGCTGACCCTATGCCTACACTCTCCAGTGACACCCGCGGCTTCCAGAGAGAGCTCAGAAAGGATGCCTTGGGCTGGATCCTGCTCCTCTGTGAGGAGCAGGGGTACCTAATAAACACATTATTGCTTTATTAACTCTTGCTCTGGGCTTGTGGTTTCTGACTGGGTTCTCACCTCCTGTGACTCCTTCCTTTCTCAGTGGTGGATCAGTGAACCCCACTCTCCTCCTCATATCCAGCTCTCGGGGCTGATGCTTCTCCGGTCTCCTATGGTAACTGACTGGCACCTCCTCCAGGGTGGGGCTCTCTGGTTTGTCTGCCATTAATTGCCATCAGAATGAGCATCTAGGCTCTTGTCTGGACCCATAGCTGGGAGTGTCCAACCTGGGCAGTTTCCCCAAGGGTTTTATCTTCCCCTCCTAGCTACACTCAGAGACAGAACAGGGGAGGCGACCCACCAGTGGGCAGTTCTGGGGTGCAGAGGGGGTCAGCTCATCTGGGCCTCTCCCATAGGAAGTTAACATACTTTAGGGGTGAGGCCGCCAACTATTCTGCTCCAGGCTCTGAGATCATGCTTTGAAACATGAGTGGTGTGACTCGGAGTGGGCTTGAGCTGTTTATACTGTGGGTTCACAAAGGCAGGCAGGGCAGGCCAGGCCCTGTTTGGTTCAGGGATCATAGCATCCATGTGCTTAGAATTTGGGGATCAGTAAATGCTTTCCCCAACAGTGACTGGTGAGGGGGGGGGGGGGGGGTCGGAAG